AAAAAATAATATAAAATAATTCTAAGAAATTATCTTTACATCATTACTCAATTTTAAATGAGATGATATATGTGACATCATATCATTAATGATTTTTTAATAAGTATATCATAAATAATTTTTTAATAAATATATTGTATAATGTATTAAATGTGTATTAAATACTGTTCATGATAATAATATTACTTTAACTAATTTTCCTTCTTTTGCAATGAGTTTTGCGACGTCTGTTACATGCCATCAAGGATCCAGCCTCAATAGTACTGCTCCAAAGTAGCTACTCTTGGAATAGGTATGGCAACAAGAGGGCTCCTTTTCTTCGTAACAAGTCCAAAATTTTCAGATACATCAAGTTCAACCTCAACCTCAACCGGTATTTCCCATTCAAAAGAGTACAACAAAGTAGCCAACACATACTTTATCATTTTCTTAGCTAGAGAAAGTCCAGCACAGACTCTCAATCCAGAGATCCAAAAGGAAGAAAACTGAAAATGTTTCCATTGTAATTACCTTTTCTTGGCTCTTTAAAAAATCTCTCTAGTTCAAATTTCGACGGATTTTCCCAATCCTTAAGATCCCTTTGAATTGTCCATGCATTAATCATGATTCTAGAGATCTGAGGGATTGTCTATCCAGTTATGCAGCAATCCCTACTAGGGTTGCAGGAACCAGGAAGGGAACCGTTGGATGTAACCGGAATGTCTCTTATATGATTGCATCCAAATATAGCAGTTTGGGCAAATGGGATTCCTACACAATTTTTTGATCTCTGACCACTTCCTCTATTTCTTCCCTCACTCTTTTTATTTTTGTTGGATGTTGTAGCATTTCCGTCATTTGCCTATTTCATTGTGGTTGATGAAGTCTCTGTTACCCCCCAAGTAAAATATCCTGCATGTCGTAAAATAGAATAAATTCAAAAGATAATGATTGGTGCACACCCGGATCCAACACCCGTGTATGCACCTCCCTCATAAAGAAAATATTGAACCGGATGATGGGTATTTTTTGTTTTATATGATATGTGCATACCCGAGTGTTAGATCCGGGTGTGCACACATCATTTTTCAAACTCAAATAAGACATTAATATTAGTAAAAAGAACTTAGTTATTAATTTAAAATTTTTTATTTAGAGTTAAAGTAAGAAATTTAAACTTTTATAATAATAATCATTAATTTTTTAATATAAAAAATTAATAATAATTATAAGTCCAAAGATGTATACATATGGAAAACAAAATTTGCAAGAGATAACGCGTTTTCGTTAGGTTTGCCATAAACAATGCTTTACTTTTGTCCATCGATAAACATGGGGTACTTCCTTCGTCTCCTTGATGCTTCATTTCTAACAAGAACTGCCGTAAATCCTTGTTTTTACCCTTATCGTTATCCTCTGTTCGACCTGCTATGATTGATTCAAGTATCTTATCAAAACATTACATAATATAAAATGTATTTTTAATATTTTAAATAACATGATAATCATCAAATTTTTATATATAATATTATGA